CACTCTTACGCTATAATAAAATCGAGAAATAGCTAAAATATGACCAAAGGTTCCCGAGATATGGCCAGTTTTCCACCGCGTGTTTTGGAAATTGCAAGAAAAGAGCAAACTTTAACGGCCATTTTGAGGCAGTTACGACCGAATTTCGTTGGGGTTCAGGGGTGCACCTTAAAAATGCACCCTTACCCTATAATAAAATCGAGAACTAGCTAAAATATGACAAAGGATTCCCAAAATATGGCCAGTTTTCCACCGCGTGTTTTAAAAATTACAAGAAAAGAGGAAACTTTAGTAGCCATTTTGATGCAGTTACGACCGAATTTCGCGGTGGTTCAGGAGTGCATCTTAAAAATTTTTTCTTACCCTATAATAAAATCGGGAAATAGCTAAAATATGACCAAAGGTTTCCTAGATGATGCCAGTTTTCCACCGCGTGTTTTGAAAATTGCAAGAAGTGAGCAAACTTCCGCCCGAATTGCAGGCGTATCGTTTAAAGTGACTCTTCTTCTACAATAATAAAAAAAAGAACAACCCAATAACACAAACCTTTCCCGAGATATGAGCCAATTTCCCCAACAAAACATGAAAAATATTGATAATTGCCTAAACTTGAAGCTAATTTTGAGGGTGTTTCCTGCCGAATTCAAGAGATGTCAAATGCGTATCATTTAAATAAACTCTTTCTCTATAATAATAAGAAAGGAACACCCCGATATAGCAAACCGTTTCCGCGATATGCGCCAATTTCCACGACGATACATGCAAAATATTGAAAATTGTCTTATTTTGAAGCCAATTTTGAGGATGTTCCAGGCCGAATTCAAGGGGTGTCAAATGCGTATCGTTTAAAATGACTCTTCTTCTACAATAACAAAAAAAGAACACCCCAATAACGCAAACCGTTCCCGAAATATGAGGCAATTTCCAACACAAAACATGAAAATATTGAAATTGCCTAATTTTGATGCCAATTTTAAGGGTGTTTCCGGCCGAATTCAGGGGGTGTCAAATCATATAAAATGGTATTTTTTCTTCAGTAACAAAAAAAAAACACTGCAATAACGCAAACTGTTCCCGAGATATGGGCCAATTTCTAAAACGATACATTGAAAATATCGAAAATTGCCTAATTTCGAAGCCAATTTTGAAGACGACTCATATAAAACAACTCTTCCTCTTCAAAGAGAATACCTTAAGAATGCAAACCGTTCCCAAAATAAGAACTTATTTCCACGATGAAACATGAACAATATTGAAAACTGCCACATTTTTAGTGTGTTTGGGTAGCATTTTGAGGGACGGCAATGGCGTTACCTGGATTTTAGTGCATCGTGTCCTATTCAATAATCTGTAAATTAAATATTGTACTGTGCGGCACAGTATTCTCGGTATCGCCGAGAAATTGTTGAAACACGTCTCGTCTCGGTATCGTCTCGCTTTTCCGAGACGAGAACTGAGCCCGGTAGGTCACGAGTGCACAAATTGAAGATCGCCTTAGAAACACGCTTAAGAATACACACGAATTTACGAAAACTCGATACACTTTTGTTACCGCTAAGTACTGCCGGTATGCGATTGTACTCGTATTAAGAAACACAATTACCGAATTAAATTAAATACCCAAGCATCGTGGCAAGCTGAGGCGCAGCACACGAACCAACCGACGGTAAAAATGAACTGACCTCTTATCTTGTAAGTATATACCTGCGTGCGCGCAAAGACAAAGTAACATGCGCACGTTAAGGCTGAATATGATCAAAATAAACATAGATAAGACACTACTTCACACAAGACCAATGTATGAACGCACAATGTATGAACACGTCATTTTGATGCACCTAGCGCGGCGTAGCGACAATTTTGCTTTATAAATAGAAGTATTATTTACAAAGATAAAAATGAAAGTGGAATAAAATAATTATTTTGAACAATGTCATTTATATTAAATTGCAAAGCGTTCCCGAGATATGAGCCGATTTCCACGACAAAATATGAAATATAATGAAAATTGTCAAATTTTAAAGCCGATTTTGTGGGTGTTTCCGAAGGCGGCAAAGGGGTGGTGTTAAAAATAAGTCTTCCCCAACATTTGAATCATTTGATTCTACAAAATAATTTTATTATAAACTCACCAACATAACGCTCAATATCCGACGGCCGACGGAAACTCACATGCAACAGATATGAAGTGCATATTCCCGAAAGTTCCACTCTTTATAAATTGAAAACAAAATCTAAAACGTGTCCATTACCACTATATGCACTTGATTGTTGATCAAATCTACCACAATGTTCCAAATTATTTACAATTTTAACAAACAAGACGACTTGTGAAACGCGTATCGACTAACCGACCGTAGAACGACAACTAATTGAGGACATTGTAGCGACGACTTGCGACGATTTTACGAATTGTGCCCGATAAAAACTTGTTTTTAGAGCCAAACACGACAAGTGAAGGTGATGTGCAAGTCTATCAACACCACTACCTGACCACATACCCAGAAAAGATTTAGTGTACATAGAAAACACTTAAATCTAGCAAAACCGCACATGAAATGTCAGGATTTACAATTCGTCTTGAATATTTATTAATTAAATTAGCGGGCCCGACAGACTTTGTTCTGATTTGGAATGTGGCATTTTTTGTTCCTGCCTATTTTATAGTCGGCGCAAAAAAATCTCCAGGACAGAACCGTCACCCTGGTGATAGGGCGGGGTGTGGGGTTCCGCTCGGGTGACCAAAGTATCTTCGTTTCCACGAACATTGGCCACCCATTAAAGAACAAATTTTATTAGTGGGACCCACTAAAACATCCCAAATTGTGCCACATGCAATAGTTAGTGATCATAGATAATTAAACACTTTACACAAAACACGAAATGAAACAATCAAACAAAAATGAATCAAAGAAAACTGCGGAATTTGTTTCGTTTATCAGTTGACAAGAGAAAACTCTGTAAAAAACACTTAACGTAAAACACAATATAAAACAATGAATCAAAAATAAATCGAAGAAGGCTGCGGAATTTGTTTCGTTTATCAGTTGAAAAAAGAAAACTTAGCTTTTCCCCGTTTTCCCGGAAATTATTCAAATTTTTCTTTTGATAAATTATCGTTTTTTTTTTTTAGAATCTGGTAGAAAACCTCAAGTTCCAGTGATATATTTCATTAAATTTCATTAATTAAAATTTTTTTCGGTATAAAAAAATAATAAAATTTACATTTCGGATCAGAAGGAGATCTTTTTGTAAAGTTTGATAAATAATTCAAAATTTTTCAGTTTTTTTATTTAGATTAATTTATTATTATTAAAATCAATAAAAAAATATCATTAGGTAATTATTTTTTCAAATACGTCTAAAAAATTTTTTAGTACTTGGAATCAAAAGAGTACTTTTTTTATCACTTTGGATCAGAAGGGTACTTTTTTATCACTTTGGATCAGAAGGGTACTTTTTTATCACTTTGGACCAAAAGGGTACTTTTTTAAATTTGAAATATTGATTACACTGATACTTTTTAAGTTTTTTTCATGAAAGTTAAATCAGAACTTTATCACCCCAAGCATTATGCCAAGGAATAAAATAAAATTGATAAAAAAATCATAGCTTGAAGTAAACAGTTTTTTATTTATATTTTTAAAATCTAAATAATGAAAAGATACCCTTTTGAAAATCAGCTCCTCATATAGATATATATATAGAAAGTCGTGTTGGTTAACTCCTTTATAACTAAAGAACGGCTAATCCAATTTAGCTAAAAATTGGTGGAGAGGTAGCTTAGGGCCAGGAGAAGGTAATAGGATACTTTTTGAAGTGAAAACTTTTCTAAAAGGGCACTAAACGACACTAAAAAGAGACAAACATATTTGCGTATATGGATTATCTTGCGGGAGAATAAGAGAACGCAAATACAAAGTTTTATATTATCCCCGTCTCCTCTTTGTGCGATGCTTCATAGCTTCCCCCATAAGCATAGACGTGTGTATGTGTGTACGTGTGGGTTGAAGTTGACCGGTTGATGTTTTTGTTTGGAGAATGTTACTAGGATACTTTTTGAAGTGAAAACTCCTTTAGAGAACACTAAACGACACTAAATGGAAACAAACATATTCGCTCATATGGTTTAGCCTACGGGAGAAAAAGAGCACACAAATACAATGTTTTCTATTATCTCCGTCTCCTCTTTATGCGATGCTTCATAGCTTCCCCCTAAGCATAGACGTGTGTGTGTGTGTGTTTGTACGAGTTGGTTAAAGTTGCCCGGTTGATGGGTTTGTTTGGATAAGATTTAGTAAGTGTAGGATACTTTTTTTAATACTTTTTGAAGTGAAAACTTCTTTGGAAGATACTAAACGAGTTTTTTCCGTCTCTTCTTTGTGCGATGCTTCGTAGCTTCGCCACTCAACATGCAGCGACCAAAACGATCAAATCTTATCCGACAAAGCCGTAATCCAACTAGGATTCGAAGGATTGCGAATGAAAGGACTGAAGAAGAACAAAAAATTGCACGTGAAAAGCGCCGTGTTAGTTTGACTCGACTTCGTGCTTCTCAATCACAAGAGCAAAGCGAGGCGGAACAAAGTTTGCCGGGTCAGCTAGTATAGATATATATAGATAGAGAAGATAACTACAATTTATAACGTTTTTTCCTAATTTTAATAAATTAAAAAATATCAAATTCTTTGATAATCAAATTTTATCAAAGTAAAAAAAACAAATATACCATTTTTATTTTCCGATGTAATTTTATCTGAAAGTACCTAATCAATCAGGTGACTTTAGAAAATTAAGACACTAAATCTGCCATTTTTTAGATTCTTGTTATGGCATGAACAAACTTAAGTAAATCCATTTTTAACATTATTACTTTCCGATAAAAAAAATGACTAAGGCTTTTTGCTCCAAATACATAATAATACACCCAAAAAAATCATTTAAAACTTTTTGAAGGATGAGGAGGTTTGTGAGATTGTCGATAATAACTATAGCTACGGTTTTTGACAGTTGTCAAATAGACATCACTATTTGATAGACATTTAAATGGGGCGAATATAAAAAAGGGAACAATTTTTCAAAAACTACAAAAATAAAAACAGGTTGTTTCGTGTAGCGATCCTAGGGGCAAATAGCTACGAGCTATTCACAACGAAGAGGACTTTTCATTAACGAGCTACAACAAACGCCCAGCAAAATTAATCTTGTGTTTTTCTCATGGACCCAATAAATAACGTTTTTAATATTCCTTTGGAACTATGGACCAAAATCTTCACGTATCTACCGAGGCGAGACCGTTTTGTATGCATGTGTGTGTGCCCCAGGTGGAGGGAAGCAATGGACGTACCCTCTTTATGGAAACACATGATCGTTCGATTGGATACAGATTTTTTCGGTAATTACATCAAATTTATTTTTGTTACAATAAAAGCATTAAAAATCAATCTTTAGAGGTAAGTACTATACAGTTGACCATCGAATTTTGCAAATACATCAAATCGCTGGAATTGCGATTTGAGTATTCAGACGAACCAATACAATGGATCAATCATAAAATGCTGGACATCACAAAACGAACATACAGATTTTTATCCATATTTGTCAACAAGAACCGACAGATTAAGAAATTGATTTTTAACAATTTCTGCGTTTTTTACAAAGCAAAGAAAATACTTTACTACTTGACCATGTTTTTGAGGTAAAACCAAAGGTTTATATTGATTCAGATATAGTTTCATTTGCGTCAATTTACAGATCACAATGCAAAATCCGTGTAATCAGTTTTAACGGATCCTTTTTCACTAAAAAGTCGTTTATTAAACTTCTGACTAGCTCCCTCAGTACAAACAACAAAAGCATCGAGTATTTAGATATGCAAAACTGCTATTGTGAAAGTGAATATTTGACAATGCCAAACCAATTCAATGTTCTTGCAAGTCAACTAATCATTTGTATCACAAGCATTGAACACTTGCTGGTCTTAAGAATTGACTTCCAATCTATGATAAACAACAACGTATTAAATGGAATACTCAACCACGGATGTAAGCATTTAGAACATTTGGACATAAGGATTGCCGATCATGACTTAATAAATGTGTCAAATTCTAAATTATATCACAATAGTATCTGGTTGAATTTGAAAAAGAAACTGCCATTCCTGAAAGTATCTATGATTTTCTGTAAGTGAATAATCATATTGCGGCGAATAACTACGTAACATTAATATAGATAACATTGTTTATGAGTACAGTTGTATTGACAATATCCTGACCAGATCTATTCCGTTGTTCTCAATTGCATGGGTAAGTGATGGATTTCTTCTTAAAGATGTCGTGCAGAATAGCTTCAGAAAGTATTCGAATTCAATAGGTAAGATGGATATAATGCAACGTAAATGAACAATACTGTTATTTCCTTATTTTCACTGATTTATAGAATTTGTTAAACTAGTAATGAAGGAGTACTATTTGAATGAATTTATACAATTTGCTGTTCAAGAATGCCCGAAACTTAGATGGATGGAACTAAGTGGCAGAATCTTTAATGTACGTGGTTTACAGCAGTATCTTCTGGAAGCAAACTTCCGAGGTAAATACAATTTAGTTTTCAATTCTAAGAAAAATGTATTCTGTTTTAAATAATTCTGTAATGATTATTCGCTCAGAATTATTTATTAACTTTGTTAAATTTTAGGATTTAAAAACTTTGATATCTATGTCCGATCGATCGAGCAAAGCGATGAAATAACTATATCTTGTGACAGAGTCTTCAAGTCATCTGTGAAAAGATCATTACTTTCAAATTGTGGCGGTTGTAACTAAATTTTTGTTTGTGAAATTAGTAGTCGCCAATAATATCTCTTCGAAACCATGAATTGACTGAATAACTTTCTTATTTTGTTTCGCATGCATATAGATATTAATTTATCCCTTCTTAAAGAATTAGGAGAAGATTAGACTAAAAGTTTTAAAGAATTCGCATGAAACAAACATCTTATGAGCCACAGCTGAAGCGATTCGACTAATTTGATCTAGCGATTCAAAATAACTTAAAAAAACGACATAGGAAAGTATTCTTCATTGCAATACTAAATATGAATGGTTGACTATTTCAATCGTTCTGACCAACCATCATAATCGTACCTATATCTAAAATGGAAACAAATATTTTATTTTTTGCTTTATTATTTCATTATAGTAATAAAATTATTTATTATAATCACATTTTACTTTCAACGTTCGGGTTTCCACTTCAGTATCCTGAATGCTCTCGACAAAAACACATGTCTGTTGGATAAATACATGTTACAAAAATTTGCTACAAGTTCTTGCCCATTGTAAAATAGTCACATTTCTACTATAGTCTTAATATGTAGTGCAGTGGAAAAGAGGAGACTGATAATATGATTCTTGTTTGTTATATTTAATATTTTTTGTTTCAATCCTTTACATTCATCGTTTCATTGAGACATATAAAAAATAAAGCGAATTGTGAGTAATATCACAGAAAATTTTCTTATTTCTCTTCGTAATCTTTCTAATTTCATTGTTTTGTTGCTAATAAAGATGATGACCTTTTCTTTCGTGCGTGTTGGTTTTCATGATAAAGGTACACAACTGCGTGCTAGAATTGCACAAACGTAATTCATAAATTCGCCTACTTCGTTTGAATGAAAACAATAAACCTAGAATGTAAGTCATCGTTTTCGTTTAAACTATTAACAAACAGGAATTTGTATATATATTTTATAAACTTGACAGTTGTTAAAGTTTTACTTGCTATATTGAATTAAATAAATTATTTATATGGAGATAGATTGTCTCTAGCTCAAAGATGTACATAATATTCACATAAGTACAGCAGCAATTCATTTTGCATCCTCCTAGATCTTAGTTGATGAGTTTTCTGTTACCGATTATTTTAAATAGGCAAATTGTTACAAAACTTTTATTTGCTTTCAATTTAAAAAATACAAATTGGCGTCAAAACTTGAAATATGTACAAATTGATGTGATAATCAATACAAAATATAATAAAAATTCCAGAAAACTGAATTCAAATAAATGTTAATACAACATTTTGTTGGGTTGCTCTTGTGTCTTAAAGAAGATTGATATTCGCTGCAGTTGTCACCTGTCATGAATCTGTTGGCGAAATATTATGTACATCGAAGGTATATTTATAAACTATAAATATATACCTAAACACGCTTCCAGCAGATGAACAACTCATTATAATGTGTTTGCAAGTATATTGTATCGTATAAGAAATCTCATTTCTGGCCAATGCAATGCCGTCCGTTAATTGATTAAATAATATGATATTCCTTTTTATGGCTTCGTATTTTGATATAAACTTTTTAAAACAGAACGATATTCTACTGTTTTAGATTTTATTTAGCTAACAGCATAGGTTCCTAGTAAATATTACATTATGTTGGCCGCTTGATGCCAAATATTAGTTTCAGTTTGTTCATTAATCATTATATTGTTTATATGTCTCGCATTAACGAGATCGTCGAAATAATTCAAATTCTCGATCAATTCTGATTCATTATTTTATTACTGCACTAGGAAATTAGTTTAAAATTTTGCTAATCGTTATATCTTGGGAGTAGAAAGAGTATGTACACAGTACATAAAACTAGACAGGCGACTTAAATACTTGGCACCAATTAAATTAAGATGATGTATTTTTATAATTTACTATGAGTTTTCTTTGCAAGTTACATTATTTTCTTCAGCACCGAGTTCTTGTGTCGTTTCCGCCATCCAATACTACAGACAGTGGCTTGAATTCGGGTCAAACATAAAAGTCCATTTCTTCCGTCATTCGTTGATAGAATAATTCTTCTCGTATTTAATAATTAACATATATACTTTAAAATATGAGTGAATATGGAATCGCTTTGCTAATTGTATTACAGTCAGTATTAATTCATTCACAATGTCACCTATGTCTTGAAGCGTGCTGTCAGACATTTGAGTTGGGACAGCAGCCCAATGTCGCATTGTTCTGTTGTTGCTGTTCCGGCTGATGAGCGTTGGGACAACTATTCAGTTGCTGACAATGATTGTGATTGAGATGCGGGTGTTGATCGGGAGTTCGTCGCGTTCGTGTCGGAACGATAACAGGTGGTAACGTTGGCGCAGGTGACGGCTGACTTTTTTTGCCAGTTAATATTTTAACAGTCTTTTGTATAAAATCAGTCTTTGGGCTGCTGGATCCAGCAGCATCCGGACGTTTCATCGACGATGCCGACGACGCCGACATCGAATGGCAGCGCACTACCAGCGGCGCGCTGCCACCCGACCAATCGGTACTGCTTCCGAAACTGCTGCCCCCGATGGAACCGAGTAGGCCAGCCGAACTGGATCTATATGGTGGTGGCGATTCCGATTCTAAAGCTGTTCGGTTCGGCGGAGGTCTTATACATTTTTGATATATTTCAGACTCCTGCAATGAGGACAAGCGAGGAATTAGTGGTCGAGTTGGCGGACAGCGCGTCTAACTCTACTCTTACCTGTTCTGTATCCCTAAGATGTAGCCTAGAACTAAATGGATGTTCCTCTCCGTCAGGGAGTGATATACTGGGCGGCAGGTTAATGGCAATGTCTGTGTGAACTGTATGCAATCGCACTTGATGATCTCTACTACTCGCTGTCAGGTCTCTAGCCGCCCCACGACCACGTAACCGGTCCATACCGCCCACCCCCGCCGTGGCGCCGGCGCTTACCACCGACAGCATCTGAAACACAATAAGAATTATTCTAACTGTGTACTCATCAAACAACCGTTTATATTCGCTTGAAATAACACTGCAGTATTGCATGTCTCCAACCGTATGTTGATATGGACAACTGTATTTCACTCCAGACATGTTATTCGCAATTAAACAATTTCATAACAATATTGCAAAAGAAAATAAGCGCGGTTCCGTGTGCAGGCAGTTAAACCAACAAAGCCGAGTATAAATATTTATGTCATACTAGAGACTAAATATAGAAAATGCAATCACCAAAACGTGTTGTAAACACACCGTGGCAGAAGAAATTTTCCGCACGTTGAAAGTTAGAAAAACATTGCAACTACGTGTCAAATTAAATTCCAAATTATGGGGTAATTATTCTCTAATACAATATATGTAATTATTTCAATAACTTGTCCCCAGTTATTAATTAATGTGCTCAATTTTAATGGTTTATTGATGCATTTGTCTTAATTTCATTTTTACAATTCTGCGTTAATATTTAAGCAAACTGTAATGCGTTCAAAGAAGTAACCTGTTGCTTCGGTCTTAAATAAAATTCCCGCAGGATGACTTAATATGTAACACAATTAGAATGCGCTCGTGCGATGTCTTCAGCTCTGGCTTTACAAAAGACACTTTCGATAATGGCAAATAACGTATCGGATATTCGTGTAAGACCTCGCAGCGTTCCATGGAACAGCGTCGCGATCAGCAGGTGTTAGGTCGATGACCTGTACGAATGAGGGAGTGCACTCGTGGCTGCGCATAATTAGTCATTCGTTTTGGCTTTCAAATTTGAGCTGCTTGGGCAAGTGCAAGATGTAATTGATCATCTCGATACAAATTACTTACGTGGATTCCATGCACCCAAACGAGTTTAGCAATTATTGATTTGACTGAATGTGAATGTCTGCGACCTCTTCTACGGGCACTTTGTACCATAGTTTGTTTAGAAACCGGCGAACGCATGAAATCGAATCAAGTCTGAAGCGTCACAGCGTCTTCGTATGGTAAAAGTTCTAGTATCGATATTGAATAATAACGTGTTCATAGACGATTTTTTCGGTGAGACTTGAAATGCCAGATAAAACAGTGCGGGGCATTCGCGCGCGGGCCCTTAACACTCGCGTAAATATTTATATCCGAGTAGTCTCAACAAAAAAGCCACACGGTGTAAGTGATTACAAATACTGGCGCACGCATTCGCCCTAAAGGGGTCACATTGAATCTTAAATAAGGGAGGGGGCCAGACGGCCTACGCGCGACGCGTCCTTGGCTCTGTCTGCCAGCAGTCTAGCGAGAGTCGCCCTACGGCTTGCGCTTGCAGACGGAGCGTTCGCGTGGCGTATTTAAAGCGCAGACAAGTTAAACGCCGGTCGCTTTTTGCCTGCCAGTTTGCTGGACATATATTCGAGACTGACCGTAGAGTACCGCCGTGTGCCCGGCCCGCCTGTACAGGTGTCTGCCCGGTCGACACGCGCTCGCATGATTTGAAAACAACGGTTTAAAAATGTTGGAAACGTTTGGCTCTGTCTGGCTTTCTCCCACCGCGCGCGCGACGAACTTTTGCTACAATCATCCCGCGTCGCGACCAAAACACGATTCTTTTGAAGGGGCGAACAGCGAAATAATTCACCGCTCCCAGTTAACACGGCGAAATTACTTCACAGCGGAAAGTTTAATCTGTCGCAGCAAACAATGGGCATGCACCGCGTTTTGTAATCTTCAATAACAGCGAAACTATAGACACAACACAATTGCAGTTTATTATTACTTACGCAATAATAAAATAAGCACATGTTTATTTTAAAACAATGGTATACGATTGCTATAAATATTATTACTTTTGAAATAGCAACTGCGACAACTGCGCACGGTAACGCGAAAATGATTATGCTTGCTATGCGAACTTATAGATTTGCTCTGTGCTACGAATAATTATAATTTTCAAATAATTATTTGTCCACTCAACACGCAGTTTACAAATCTACTTGCTGAACGATAAGAGACGTAAACACCAGGATCGAAACAGTAAAGAAGTCGCAAAAATAATCTCGTCAAATGGCAACAAACTTACGCTAAGTATTACAAAAATTAATACCGCCAATCCAAGGTTTCGTATTCCGTCTGTTAAAATCGTTGGATCACACAACAGCACTGGTCGTCGAGTTTGTACTCGCTCACTTTTCGGTAAACAATAGTGAAATAGAATGAAACTTGGCTAGTACCTTCTTGTTGGCGCTCAGTTTTTGTCTCATTGTCGCAAGGCACTTTCGTATTGCTCGCTTGAAGAAGTGGCGAGCGTAGCGCACGCTATCAACCGTCATTTACAGTACTCGGCCCAGACTGTGCGACACACGGACGCGTCTTTGTAATCAAGCCCACTGCGCGCGACACACGACGCCTGCACTCTACACAACCAGCCGGCACAACGCACAAACTCCGACGGGCAGGCAGACACGACTGGCTCGCATGCGAGTACCGCCGCGCGCGCGCCGCCGCATGTACATTTCCAACATGCAGCGCACTGACGAGAGCGCTCCTCGTGCATGGCACTCCGTCCCGCCGCGTGTTACGTGCGGACGGTGGAGGAGCGACAAGGCGCGTCGCTCGGGCGGGTGCGCGCGCGACAAGGACACAGCGGCGCGACGCGACGCGCTCGCGGCTGTGTGCGTGTGTGTGTCCGTTGGCTCTCGCCAGTGTTGAGTTGCCGTAACGTAGCCAGCCGCAAACGTGAGCTGTCCTGTCTAGACAGACTATCATTCCCCCGCCGCGCGGCCGCCCGACCATTTTGATAACGCATACAGACGCGCCGCGCCGCACTCACACCGCCGCGCGAAAGACCTGATGCAGCAGGCCAGAGCAGCGACAAACAAATCCACCGCCTCACGCGCTGCACCAGACTGGCTAGCGCTGGACCCTGCGCCGAATACATCATCGCAGTTTCAAGAAAATCTTACCATTTCTCAAACAACACGCGGTGGAAAATCAGTTTTTCTAATACAACTTGAAACAAGAGCGATTTCAATATTTTACAATAAATATATTAAGTCATCTATATATATTATTCCAGTATTTGCATAAATCATCTGAAAATATTCATTTTTAATATCAGGATTTGCAAATACAAATGTGAAAACAAATTTCATAATTTCCCAGAAATGTAGCGGATTTAAAACAAAGCGAGATGTAATCAAAACAAATGTACGTTTCTTTCGTATTTGCAAGTGGCAGCCAGCAGTCTGAGTCCGATTGCAGATGCAACACACACACACACAGGTTAATACTTCGAGTTACAAAATACGCGCTCGCACGCTATCATTACTCAACGCCGAATGACTGATAAGTGCCGTCGGATATACTCGTGGAAATAGTTAGACGCGCGCGACGGCGCGACGTTCCAGTAATATTATAATTCCTAGAACATGAGACATTCATTCAGGTCACCGCTTTTTACAGACGCACTGTAATCGAGAATGGAAAACACAACTTGCAAAAATACATAACTTTTATTCCCCGACACCTACAGCTCGAATTATTGCCGTCAGACAGTCTGTTTGCGCGTTGCCAAAATTTACATGGCAAACAAACAACAAGTTGGAAGTGCAATCGGTTTTCTTTGTACGCGCATGGTTCGCATAATAGCCGTGCAATTAGTCGTTGAAAGATATAAATAATAAGGAAGTCATAATTATATTTAGATAGACGTCCGTACGTCAGCATAAATTAATAATATCGCCAGCGATAACGTCGCATTATCACGCCGGCAATAATGAAACGCTGCTCTCTGTCTGGGCATGCGAGATCGGCCACAAAGCGCGCAACGTAGCCGCGACCGCGATTGCGCATGTTATTGGGCTTTGAAGTGTGCATTTTATTTGTAATGAGCGAATGATTAATGCACGCCGCCTGAGCGCAAAAATCCGCACCGTTCACCGCGCGTCAGACGCGCGCCGATACAAAGCGCGTCGCGTTATCATACGAAACCGCACTTTTCTCTGGCATTGCGCTTGGCTGGTGTACACTACACGGTGAAACACAATAATAAGTCACGTGTCGCAATGGAAGTGGATAATTGATCTAAAACTGTAAAATAGAATGATGACATCATTTCAGTCTGTCTGGCGGCCTTGAGAACTGGCGATTTTTTCGCCGGCGCACGCAAAATAATAAAACCTGTATGTTTATCTGCGCGAATTTGAACTCGAGTCGCGCTAGCGATGATAAGATTAAAATGTGTCGCGTAATTTCACGTTACATAGTGTGTGTTTATAAAATAATTAAGCGGCACAAAGTCGACACGAGCCGCCAAGGCGTAGAATCGTCGAATACCATTGAATAAACACGACGACTTGTCGATGCGACGCGACGACGTACGTAAAAAAACGCGCCGCGCGACGGTGACTCAAGCGCGTCACCGCCAGTAGCTGCGGAGCAATAATGGAGGGTGAATAGAATCGAGGCGCAAAAAAAAAACGTGAGATGAGCCACCACCGTCTGGTTGTCTGCGCCGCGCGCGCCGACCAGCCGTGTGTGTGCGCGATTGATTGTGAGTGGCTAGAGAGCGCACGGGACTCTCGGAGAGGTTGTGCGATTAACGCGGGAACGGCGTCGCGACGGTTGAGAGTGAAAGTCGGGAGCGAGCCGGTCAATGATGCACCCAGGCAGGCTCCCGACGTAGACGCAATGACTCATGGCCGACCAAAACATGGAACCCTCCCGCGTTTCGAATCCCACACGACGACAACGTGTGGAAGTATTTTCGGCTTTGATCGTCTGGAGAGTGCGGCTACCGGCGCGATCGCGAACCCACCGTGGATTCATCAATGCGCATCGGAACAAATTAAAATTATGAATGTAGGTCAACGAGATTGGACAAGATGCGTGAAATCCGGGATTTTTTAATTCGATGCAGAAACTCACGTACTTATCGCCTACAACTAATTAAGAGTACATAACGCGGGTGACGCACGTGTCGAAATGTGTGCTTGCAAATAATATTTAATACCAATATTGACATTGCCCGGAAACCGGCTGATGATTGATTCTAAAACATCCAAACACATTTTATTTGCTTAGTCCATAGTGCAATGGATGATCCATGATCAGTATTTAATTAAATCACAAATTAATTATCATCGCTACCACTGCGTTGCTATTTTATGACATTGACCTAATGATACATATCATGATTAATATTTTATGGTAAACATACCACTAGAAATTCAAATTTATCATCCACATTTTCTCCTCAAAAAAATCTATCAACTTTGACGAACACTTGCAGTAAATTTCATCATAAAATAAATGTGAAAAAAAAATTGGAGTTAGAATTTGTTTTGTCTATAGATGATTACATTGCCAATTTGTAGGTCGTGGATTTAGTATTTTATGATGAAAGTCTCAAATACATTCGCCCTTTGAGAAGTTGGCGTTCGGAGAATTTTGCCAAGATCAGTATACCTACAGTTAGGATTGATTTTAGGTAGCCAACGTGCAAAAACAATGCAACGGCACGCTTGCAAAAACAACACCGAGGGTGGCGGCTTGCGCCAGAAGTCGGCGTCTATATCGCCCGAGGTCGCAAACCGTCTAGCCAGCTCCACGTCATTTCCCCTCCGGACGACAAGTCAAATTGATATTACCACAGCCAAAAAAAATACCGCAACAATTTAAGACTGCACCTGTTTGATGAACATGCACGTCCAGTGAGTGCACATTACGCGGATGTAATAATTAAGAAAATTTGGACTTTGTCAAGAATGCTTAGAATTGGCCAGTCATTTGTATCTAGAGTGATTCAATATTAAACCATCCTCTGATTAATGGAAGGTCAAATAACCTATTAAATAGAGATAATAATTAAAGATGCGATGTAGCATATTGAATTAAAAATGATTTCGGCATGCCGCAACAAGTTAACGGTCAGGCCGTTTTCTGTCCATTTATGAAATAACTTATCGAATGTTGTAGAAATTACTTGATTCCCATCGTATTCCACATCGAATTGGCTTTATTATAGTAAAATTCCATTACGCAGTGCAAAGAACTCCTTCTCTACTTGCGCGCGTACTCTCGGTACGTACCGCCCGGCTGGCCGCCAGTAAATAAATGATATTGTGTTATAATGCATGCATTGAGGTCGCGTACCTAACCGGCGATATGCGATCGCCCAGACCGGGGAGTGCGCAACCAAGAATCGTATATTTTATAAACCGCACGCTGTTGATATTGGTATCGTACAGTTGTTTTGTCTGGACATGCAAGAACAATTTACACAAACGACACAGACAGCCTTGTTCGGTCGGCCTAAGTGCAACAACACAGTGCAGTTATAAAGGACGATATTTTGCATTCGTCATACACACCCGTAATAATATTTTCTACCTGCTCTTGATTCCTCTCGACGTGCTTACACAGTCTACGTGTGCATATTTTTATAGGCGCAAGAAAAATACACCAGCTGCTGAATCAAATTAATTGATAATTATAACGACCATTACAGTGCTTGTCCTTATCGCCTTTCTGTTTGTTTCACTCGGTGCGTATAATTAGCACGCCTATATACACATATTCTTGATAATGATGGGCGTCATGGGCTAGTTAAATTTTAATTTAATTTCAATCTTGGTTGATTTTGCATTCGCATGAATTTCTTAAATGGGTACCTACTACTAAATTTCTCATTTCATTCAAAATTTTGGAAAATACGCTTCCAATACTAACGTACGTGACCCCAGGATTTCCTACTTGAATTCTACAAAAATAGATTTAGAAATAATAATGAGAAATAGTCTTTATTCGTTTTATACCATAAGACGAAATATTAAATTGATGAACACTAAAACTTTTGGGATATTACCCAAACATCTAACAATGCATCTACCAGCGCAATCAGATGCGTGAAAACGGTGGAGCCTGACTTTTATGCGGCTCCATTTGCAGTTTGAGTGCCAGACATACTGATATGACTAATGCGATCATGACTAATACATATATGAATTATACCTTATAAAATATGAAATCACTCCAGATCTCAGATAACAGTGTGATTCAGGTTAAGCTGATCAATAGATAGATGGCGTTCTGCTAAATTAAGCCAATATCTCGAAAACTTAAAATTATTCATTAATTTGCAATTGTCAGAAATTCATTAAACGTTTTTATTTATAAATACTTTAATCAAATTCCGAACTTCTTCGAAATGAAACTTGAAACCTCTCGAGATACGAATTTAGATAGGCAATTGAAAAGTTTGAATAGCTTGCTACTGAATTTAATCTGTTAACAAATAAATAATTTGATTGTTTAAATCGTAAATAATCCATTTTTTGATTATTTAAACGGAGTCGGCTTATATCCTGTTTAAATAGTTAAAATTGACAGTAATTAAAAACTGGAAAATCTACCAGTGTACGAATCATATAAATTTAAATAATAGATGACTAAGCTGGCGCATAAAGATTAAGAGATTATAACCACACTAATAGAAATATATTAGTAGATACAAACCAATCCGTGATTATTTCATTTACTGACATGCCAAACAACCAAAACGATTGAAATTCTTTACTTACGGGTGCAGTGGCCGGTGTTTGCGCGACGTTGGGCGAATCGGCAAGGATGCCACCGCGGTAATGGCTCAATACGCACGTGACGAGCCCCAGCGCTAGCGTTAGCAGCAAACAAGCCGCCACCAGCACCAGCAGGCCGCCACTTTCCTTCACTGGAAGTAGAAAAATACACGACATGTAGAAAAAAAAGCTTGCGCACAGCACAGTGCAGATATGTGTGAATGAATTCCTCATCACCCAATAAGCTAAATTGCATTATTTGCAGACACCATTTGCGTAAATTAAATCACCATTCCGTGCGCGCCGACCCGCATGTCAAAAATAAAATTTCTTCAGACGTGTTGCGCCAGTTCATCGCTTGACGATGACTATACAACAATCAGCGACGCCCCGACGATATTGGTGAAAACAACAACAGTTCAATGTCACACCCGAATAATATTTACTGAAACAATACGATTTCGAATAAAACTATATAAAGAAAAAAAAAACATACGCGTCTGTATACCTGCACACACATTCAATGGATGCAGAATCAGGTTTTATTAATAAGAAACATAAAAATACTGTAATTTACATCAGGAAGGCACGATTAAATTTATAAGAAGTTTAAATGTGTTTAATTTAATTTGAAAATTGAAGATTATTTTTAGAAGCATTGCTTTTAAATGTAATTCAAGATCTTAAGAGCTTTTTAAATGCGTTTCCTTTGGAATAATTTTCATGTTTGATAATGAACTTGGCCAGTAAGTCCATTGTTACATAACAATACCAACTTAGCCACTAAAGAGACGAACACATCTTCCTAATTAATTCGCATTGAAAAGCTTCACAATGGAAATATTCGTGCTGAAGTGAACTTTCAAAACGTGATGCCACCAACGTTTTAATCGAGCATGAAAAAATTAAAAAGACTCTTCAAGGAGATTACTGCAAGGTATAATGCGACTACTATCGTCAAGAGAAACTAATCTGACAAATAATCTAATTTGCTTTTTTTCCATCGCTGTCCCCAGCCGCACACCCACACATACCCCCTCGCACACACAGTCATATCTTGCATATGACCTAATTTGGCACGCGCGCGCTCACAACGGCGAATTCAAGAATGCGTGCGCAAAGAAGTCAATAGTGTTGCAGACTGGGCAGAAGTCTCGTAGACATAATCAATACGCCGCACCAACAGCTGCACACCGAAGGACGCGTGTGTGACGTAGAAGCGTCGGGGCGAAATTTTCAATTCATTCATTCACGATAGCACCGTCAAGGACACTTTACTTCAATTGGATGTTAAAATAAATTTATCCCTAAGCGGCAAGGGGTGGATTTTATTTTAAATAAAGTAAATATTGATTTTATTTCCGTACTTGCAAAAAAATGTAGAGCTTAAATTTGATTTAACCAGGGCCTATAACATTAGCCTTTCAATGTTAACGCAGAAAAGCTTCTTAATTTCATTCTTATTCAAGGTAATCTTTTAAGACATTACTTGATGCGACCGGAGATCTTAGTAATTATCATAGATTAATATTCACTCGCACATTTCGTGTCTTTATTATTATAAGGCCTTAGATATTTCCGAATTGTGCTACTGCAGGTTCCACGATCGCAACGCACCGTGACAGTCGTCGTCGGCTCCAAAATATTTGATTTTTAAGTTCGATGTGTCGACAACAAACAAAACTTTACGTTGGAAAAAATTCAGTCCGCCGAAAAAACATACAAATATAGAACTCACGTCTGTCTGCCCGACTCTACCGAAACGGAATACAAACACACGCGCTCCTGAGTTTCGGCAATTTGCCTTCTCGTTGTAGCTGTAGCAGTATGGGTGTATGTGTAGCAGCCGCCAACATACATGCATTGCTCGCAAGCCGAAAGAAGAATGTGTCCATAACAACGATAAACAGGCTAATTCTGTCTCACGGATTACACTCAGACAACGTCTAGACGCTACAACACGATTTTCGTTCTCTCACTTTCTCGATGAGTCGTCGCTCCGAAACTTACGGCTACCGTTTACAGCCACTATTACCATATGGTGGCTGTGTTTTCCCACATACCAACTTTATGGAAGTACAATCATCACGTGCATATTTGCAAAGCGATTGATTGTTTTTCAGCGTCGGACTTTTGGTTTATTTGGTACGAAATGTTTACACCTAGAAATTAAGTGGGAATGTTTTCATCGCAGTTGAAAGCATGTGCATTTCAGTGAATGAAATCAGCTAGTTTCCCAAATGTAAAACTGGGTAACATAACATCTATTTGCTGGGTTAGTTGAAAAATTAGTTTCGATAGTAAAATATAACATTTGCAAATTCCTTGTTCATGTGTTCGTTATTGCATCAAAGTGAATTCATGGAGGAAACTATAAAAAGTTAATCTATATAGTAATACATATTAGATAATTTGATTAAATAGGAAGCAGTATCTTGGGTTATTTTATAGTGGTATATTACAACATTTCATTACACCAAATATCCCGTAGAGTTGAAAATATGACGCAAAAAAGCAAATGTCGCTATCATGCAATGTTTAATTTTTTTAATAAGTGTCCCCCAAGCTACTGCGTTCAGAAAATACCAATCAACTTGACCATTTATGGCGCCTGGTATATTATTGTATATACTTAAGTTAATTATCACAAACACTTAGACCAAAGGTTACAGACAATTAGATGAAATGCAACTGGTAATTGTATTAGGTCGCCGTCTAGTCCATGACACCGATCATAAAGGTTTCAGTCGCGAGGCGCGCATGTCGCTTGTCTTTCAGACTTCCAGCGCGGTTGTAATGCGAGAATTTTATGCCGCATTACTCGTTGTCCCCCCATGAAGCAAGCAGTGCACCGTATTATGACAGTAATTTAGTTTCAATTGTGATGTGGTGCGATGTGCGAACGCAATCTGAAGAAGTAATCCCTGCGATTGCCTAGACCAGTGACGACGAATAAAAATTGGAAGCACCGCCAGACAACGGGTCGTCTCTTTGTTCTGTTTGCAATGTGCCTTAATTAAAAACGTAATGGTTAAATCTGGCTGGCAATGCAAATTTTCCATACACGTTTCTTTCGTAAATATTCGAAAAACCGCATAGGTAATCTAGTTAAACCAAAAATCCGCTTATTCGGTATCACTCTTCAAATTTAATTGGATTTCATTGGACATCTATAACAAACATTTTTTTGTTTCTAATCCGCGATTAAACCGATGTTAAACACAAATTGCAAAAATATCGTCTTTTTTCGAATGTTCTGTTTTCCTTCTACATCAGAATAAATTTTTTAATTCTAGGAATATCTGTGGCAAATTTATAATTAACCTTTACGTAAATGTTATTAAAGCAGGTAATCCACGCTTATCAAATTTAATTAGCCCCCAGGTATAACAAATTTGGCAACATTGTAATACAGATTATATACGTATTACAAATATTATATCACAAATTCGCCATTTCGAATAAAGAGAATATCACTTTGTTGATTACCTTCATATAAAACATCCAATTGCGAATACACATAATGATTGTATATAGGGGAGACAATTGATAATAACATGCAGGTCCACAACAACTCCACAAACAAGTAGATCATATCCCATTTATGGGTGGTAAGTGAAATTTTCTGATCACTGACGAGTAAAACCAAACAAATTTCCACGATATTATAAAATAGAAATAAAATTATTCCCGGTTTCATATGGATATACACGTGCAACGTTGCACAGTGAGTCGAGCATCACTTGGCCTTACTCAGGTCATCGTCCGATAGCTGACCAGCAACTCGTCTCTGCGACGTTAAGCGCATGCACTCTAGCCATACACGCGCACGACCATGAACAAGGTTTACACTTTACAGAAACGATTCATATATTTCATATAACATATTTTAAATATTTAGTAGAATATACCTGCATCACCACTGGGGATACAACTATTCATGCATAAGAAAGGTATGTTTGCTTGCAAATAGATTCCGAAAGTATATCACGCAATACCTACGTTCAAAGATAACTGGTTCCAACACATCACAACAACGAGTAGCGCAGAAATAAGCTTCCCCATTTGAATAATAAATTGTTTTGAACTTACATAAGTCCTTGGTGTAGACGTCCTCAGGTGGCATCGGCCGTTTGTCCGGTGGTGTCAACGAATGTCTGTGCTGATTATAATCAGTGTTGATGGCAGTCGATGCGCCTTCCAAAGTGTCACTGCTGGCGTGCTGCTGTCCAACGATAAACGTAGATTCGTACACTGGCACGTATGAACGATTGTTAATTGCACTGTTGTTTTGAAGACTTGCGAAACTAAAGACGACCGGCGGCACGGTTGTTTTATTCGTGATGCCTCTGAGGCGCGGAATTGTAACTTGTTTGTTCGCTATTGCCGTCGACGGTGGTGTTGAGTAAACATTGTCTCTGTCAATGTTCACCGGGTGACGACGGGTCGGATAAACGAGGTGCTTATTGGGTTTTGTGTGGTTGCTCCAGTTGATGAGACGGAAAGTGGAAATTTGATTTGCGTCTACATCGCCGCCATACTTGTCCTTTATCTTGCTGTCTTCCAGGCGACGGGTGGATCGCGCAATTCGTCTTTTGCTCGCTCGAGGTGGTGGTCTCTTATGCGTAGAATAATCACTCTCCTGTATTCGATTGTTTTGATTGGTACTGTATAGTTTAGAATATGATTTGTCAATTATGCTAATATCACTTGGTAAATTGTTTGCACGAGGCTTTGTAAACAAACTACTTAATACTATACTGGAAGTTTGCAATTGGGAAGTGGAATAGTGCTGACGATGCGTTCGCGGATAAATTGGACTATTATAGGTGGTCGTTGAGCGTACATCAGAGGCGATGTACGAAAGGGAATTCGGGGACAATTGAACTATCGAATCCGCCGTGCTTGTGGACACATGGCACCTTGCCGCTATCGTCACAGTGGCAAGGACGAGAAACAGGGCGGCCAGCAGGATTGCACGATGTGACTGACGGTGGAAATAATTTCGACAGGATGGCTGCTGACGAGGGGCCGTGGTCTGATAGCCGACCAAGGTCCCTGCATATAACGTACGCACTGTGAACTGTACAAAACAGGTAACGTCAAAAAAACAACTCGATTCACTCGCCGCACATTTAAGGTTCGAGCGACTGCGCTGTATCAAACGGCAGGTCGCTGATAGAAGCACAACATGAACAAAAACCACTAGTAGTCCAGACGTCGTAGACAGAAGCACACTTATCGAAGCACAACTCTGCAGAATTAGTCGGCAATGCTTATGCGCATAGTTGACGTTAAGCTTCCCGAAGACGGCTGCCAGAATAATCAACAGAAGGGCAAATTGGTGTATCAATTTCCAGCAATCAATCTCAACCCAAGACGATGAATGCAGATAGGATCTCAGTACATGTTGGACGCCTGAGGATTGTTGCAACCACGAAGCATCGAGAAGCGTATTGGTTTTGTCGATTGTAATTGCTGATTGCGAAAGATCTCGTGGTTCACGAAATATGTCACTGTCATTCAATCCAGCTATCGGCAATACGTCCAGAAATCTACCGGATATGAGGTTCGCGCGTAGGATCCCACTCGGCGACAGCAATATCAGATCTCCGATCAATATGTGCATAAACATTGCATATCACCACCAATGTACCCAAAACCATCTTGGTACAAGCGCGCTGCTGTGACTCCTAGACGACTAGCAATCACTGGACTAATAGCACTGTCAGCGCGTATAACAAATGCTTCAAATTTCTTCCTCGTCACCGAATGCACCATAATCTTCATCGGTTCAGCAACGCTCCTGAGTTTCGTCCTTCCTGCAGTCGCATCTGAAATCAAACGTGCGGATAACATTGATAATATCTCGTTAGGCAAATCGTTTCGGGAAGGGCGCTCACAATTAAAGCGGCTGGCTGCGGACAGCTGGCGAAATTAATAGGTTAATAATAATGATGCGATGCGAATGCACACGAATTCTAATTGAATATTACAATGCGAGTGTGTGGCTTCGCGTTTTTGATTGTGTCGTATGGAAGAAATACAACGAGACGCGAAAACTGAGCAGTCTAGAGCTGGTGTTCTAAAAGTGATGCTGGCACCGGCCCAAAAGTCCGCGTGGCGCATGTGTTCGTCAGCGCACACACCTCTGGAATCCACCCGTCCGTTCGAACGTCCACCATTTGTTTCGCCACTTTCGTCCGAACAAATACACGCTCTATCTCGCTGATTTTCTGGCTATGTTCGCTCGCGTGTTTGCATCGGATCCCAGGTCTGGGCCTGCATGTTCGCCATACCGAATACATTCATACACACACGCGGTATCGCAGTGTCAACGTGCTGCTACGCTCCTTCTTCCAAATCTTTAAAAATTTCAACAACCAAGCGAGCATTCATTTGCTAATGTTTCTGAGTGCAACATTAAATTCCTCACCGCACACTACTGCCGCACGCATGCCGTACTGATATTTCTTGATGTGTAATTTATTATTACCAGCTTGCAATGATCGGGTGCAGTAATGATGTTTTCGTGTCATGCGCAATGATTGATTTGTGATCGAAAATGTGGGGACATTTCTGTAGTAAACGAACCTAAACTATTTGCCATAGTTCAAACTTTTTGGCAGCAAAGAAGCGAATAGTTCTCGAGTTAAAAATACCTATTTGCTACCGTCTGGTGCCGCTCGTGCTGCCGATATGCCATAAGCTCCTAACAAATTGGGAGCCAATGGACTACATTTTCGGAATGATCACTTTTAAAGCATATTTTATTGTTGCATCAAGCGTAAATATAATTATAGAATCGCCAATCAACCGTTGACCTCGGCACTGCACCTCCTCGAATGAGACCGATAGTAAAACAATATTCGCGCGATATAAATACAGTTGAAATTCCGAAATGCATGCAATCTGTGCGTAATTATTTGCTAAACAAACATGGTCGTAGCTGTTTATTTAACAAATAATTTCAGTCTCGTCTAGCTGTGTTCATAATAATTAAGACTGTACTCTCGTGCATAAAAAACATGTAAACGTTATGCATATAATGGATTGTGTCTGAGCGTCTCAAGGTCGACTATGTAATTCGAATGTCATCGCAATGGTGACAATGGCTGTTTGAAAAGAGTTCGATTCGGCTTCATTGCAAGGCGCGTTGCAGACGCGATCATTAAATATGAGTTGTTAGGAAATCTACGGCATGAAAATACGTACTTGGCCCTTTGAGAGATTATACCGTTGAGAAGTTCACTGGCAAAACGGGATTCTTGGGGCGGTAGTGCGTCGAGAATGCGGTGGACAGTATGTGTCGTAAGCACTAGATTTTATTGCGAAGCACAATGATATTTTACACACGTATCCAAGCACCGCACAGAAATTGTAGCTGTTAAAATTTGAGGTTCGTGAATCGCGGTCTCTAGCAACTAGTAGTTCTCCTCGCCAAAAAGAGCCCGGCCAAAGCGCAATATCCAAGTCAAATATACATTCACACACCAATAATAAACAGTCCAATTTTCGGTCCTTTGAATGAATTAACCAAGAAAAAACGCGAAATTATTTCAAGTCGCGCGCGCCGATAAGCGCCCCGGACAGGCGAGAGACGATAGCCGCAGCGGATTGATGGTGACACGAGAATTTATTTCACTGCAATGTTTGTTTATTACGCTTATTGAATGGTTGATGAACTTTGTTACTGGGGAATCAAAGGCAAAACTACTGCAAGTTCGCTTACATCCGGGTGGCGCAGTCTTGAATCTCGATTGCGGTTCGGAAACGATTCATGAACAACAGAACGCGGTTGGGGGAGATGACCAGTTTCTACTCGCTTTGGTCTATTTTCTTTTTCAGTAAATCGATGTAATGAAAATTGATGCAACAACCCACAACGCTATGTCGTCACATACTGACGTCTCCGCCAGACGGTGTACTCTCGGTACCGCCAGACGAAAAGCCGAGGCCGGTTCGGTCTGTCTCGTCAAGAGACGACCGACGAATGCGCGTATTACACATCGCTGTGTAACGCGCGTAATGGACTTGCGCTCACTTGCGCTCGTTGGCCGCGCGCTGCTGCGAGGAGCTTGGAACGCATAGACGGTGTGGAGTAGACGCGTTCGAACGCGGTCGCGACCCGGTGTGAGTGCGCGTGCTTGTGGAAGTGTGTGAGTGCGTCTGGCGCGACTGGCAATCGCGCCGCACTCCACACTTGTAGGCAGCGCACCCGGAGCAAACCATCGGTGAAAAAAACACCTACAACGCCAAGATGACACCGTCGAGTTTGGTCCGAGGTCGAGTGGAAGGCTTTAATCGCAACGGCGACCACAGAGCAAAGCCTACCTCTGCAACTGGCAAAACTGGTGATTCTGTAGGAATCTTCGTTTTTTAGCACAAATAATTAATATCGTAAATATTCACTACATAGATCTAATTTAACTAAATTATATCACAATATAAGTTATGTTTACTTACAAATTACTCTAATTTATTTTAAATACTAGTGCTATCTATGTGTAAATTTTCCTTCTAAGTTTGTAAAGTTTTTGAAAAATTCGAGTATTGCACCATCTATCGGTTCAATTTAAACACCTCGGTTTGTTGGTTATTTTAGTCCGGCCATGTGGTTCAAGACTTTCAAATAAAATAACAAATATTAAACCGATTTATTAAATATTAAACAGTGACGATTAAATCATTGAAATAAAAATGTCTAATTGCAAGATTCATAATGTGCGCTTCTACAAACCCAAAGCCAAGGCAATTTATTGTATGTCGTTTAATAAGAAAACACAGAAACTAGCTCTTTCCAGGTATGTTTACTATGCAATAAATAAAATTGAACAATATCATTATAGCAATTTACAATTTTGTGTGTTTTTTTTTAGGTCAGATGCATCTATAGAAATATGGAATCTAAAAGACAGTCCTGTAATGGAAAAATATTTACCATCATCCATAAAGAACTTCAGCATTGAAGGTTTGGCATGGTCTGGTCATAGATTATTCACAGTTGGTCTGCATGCACTATTATGTGAATATGATTTGAAACAGTTGAGTATCAAAAGCCAAACAAGTGTCACTGGTCAGACAGCCTTTTGTTTAGATGTAAATAGGCAAGAAACCAGAATAGCAGTTGGTACTGAGCAAGGGTACTTAAATATATTTTCAATTGTTGAAGATGAGTTGGTTTTTGAGAAATTCTTGGATAAGCAGGAAGGTCGCATTTTGTGCCTGAAATATGATCATACTGGCGAATTTATTGCATCTGGTAGCATGGACACAATTAGAGTGTGGAATGTTAAAACTGGTCATGCAATCCATAAGATGACAACTGGTCGATCAGCAGCAAATAAAGCTACAATTGTTTGGTGCATTGCTGTAACAAAAAATATGACAATAATCACTGGTGATTCCAGAGGCAAGTTATCATTTTGGGATGGTACTGTTGGTGCACAAACTGAAAGCTATCAATCCCACAAAGCTGATGTTCTGACATTATGCTTAACAGATGATGATAATGAGGTACACTGCGCCGGCATTGATGCAAACATTATTACCTATAGGAATATTGCGGTAAGAGGTGATTTGCATAAGTGGGTAAAGAGTGTGCAGAGAAAGGTCCATGATCATGATGTACGCGCGTTGGTCATGAACAAGAAATATTTGTATTCTGGTGGTGTAGATGGATATCTGGCATGCAGTTATTACCCACCTAAAACTTTATTAAAGTATCCACCAGTATCATCACATCCAAATAATTGTGCTGAAATTGCAAGCAAAGCTAGATATATTCTACTAAAATATCCAAAGTCTGTGGAATTATGGTCAATGGGTGAGGAGGCTGAGCAAGAAAAGAAAGTGAAGTTCGGCGCGATGCTGCCCATCAAGAAGAAACCAGTAAAATTGCTGGTTTTGCAACGACAAGTCAAAACCGATATTGGTGTTAAGCGAGAAGGAATCCTTTCTAGCACTATTAATTCCACTGGAAAATACATTGCGTTTAGCACAATGAGTGCACTTAGGCTGTTCCGGTTTGACTATATGAATAACAAACCAACTTTGACGCAGTGCGAGTTGCCCTTTGACAATCCATGTGTTAATATGATGTTTTCACCAGAGGGCAATCAATTAATTGTTGCACCCCAGGAAGGAGGCTTGGAAGTATTAAATATTCTTAACAATCAAGCGACGAGGGCACAAACTATACCTACAGATAAATGCAAGTGGAATTCTTTGAGTTGTCAGCAGTTTTTATTTTTTACATATTTTTCAGATATTCACGACACAATTACATTCTTAAGGTTTTCACCATGCGGCCAATATTTAATTGCCACTGATCCTGAATCAAACATTGCTGTTTGGAAAAGAACAAGCTCAAATTACAAACCTTGGGAATTCTATTTCAAACTGCCAAGACATTCGTGTAGTCCAACAGCAATTAGTGTGCAAGCTAATTCAATGAATTTATTGATTGCATATGCCGATCATAAAGTGAGTGAAAACGTTATTAATGCATTTGCATGACGAATACTAAATTATTTTTATTTTAGATATCAGAGTTTAACTTGGCGTCTTGTAAACTTGCCGAATTTTCGGCCGAAGTACAGGACAAAAATAATAAATTATTTACGAAAAACTTTGCAATTCGTAACATTCTACATTGCCCACCAAATGATACAGTTCTGTTACATGATGATAGTAATATTCAAATAATTAACAGAAAGAAAGTGGGTGTTATTCCGAAGCATTACTTTGGTTAATATCTGTGATTAATGTTATTTTATTCTAGAAAGCTGCGCCAAATACCCCAAAACGTGCGAAAGTGGTCAACGTGGATAAAGAAGACCCGATATTATCTATAAATGCTATTAAAAAGTATAAGGTAACCTTCTACTATTTCGAAATTTGCTTTAATTTTAATGTTTCCTTGTGACTTTACTTTTTAGCATCTTCTTCATTTAGGTGTATTGTCTGATAATGAATTGGTGGCGGTTGAGGTGAGTCCTTTGTCATTCCTGGAGCAATTACCACCTGGCTTCAAGCAGAATACATTCGGAACAAAATAGTACAAAAATTCTTGAATATCGCCAATAATAAACTACTATACTGTTATTATTTAATCACTATGTTTGTTTTATCGTTCTATCTTTATAATATTTTCTACTTAAGCCCATTTCTCTTCCGAATTTCAGTGTAGTTTTGATGAATATAGCGGCCGGCCAACAAATTTTCTTTGTTATCCATTTATGTCGTGACGGGGCTTATTGCGAAGTACGTTTTGATCGAGTATTGGATCAAAATGTTCCCACAAATATTCAAATATTCATGAACCGCATCAGCGTTTGACGAAATTTAAGACCATTTTTACAATTGTTTAAATTCTTAGCAAAGACATTAGCCAAGAAAGATTACGTTAACAGGTTCATAAAGGGGCACCATCGTTAATTTAGGAGACTTGTACAGAGGTCCATAAAGTTCCAAGTTGTGATTCCCTGGTTGATGCCTCCAACCTACCTCACCTTTACAAATAAGCATTGGACATAATGATCCCAATGTATAGTATTTATTTGATTACCTGCTGTTGTTTTTGGACAATCCTTTCTTGTAGTAAGTTTCCAGTTAATAAAATCAGATTTATTTTCAGTTTTTGTATCACGTATAAGATTCCTATATTCATTTTCGCTTATACCTTCATTCAGGGCAACTTCCAAACACATCTAAAATAATGATGAGATAAGAATAATCTGACAAAAAGTGTGGGAAAATGCAAAATCACACCTTGTTTAAATCATAATAGTTCCATTGTCCCCTGTCCTCTAGCTTCTTATACATACTCACAACTTCCTTGCTAAGAACATAAAACAAATATGAATACAATAATAAAAACCAAAATGTTATAACTTACATGACTCCATCTTTTTGAACATAATTTTGGAATTTTCTATTAAGTTTCTCGGCCATTTTGAAACACTTGTTTAATCAATAACATCACTAACAATACTATAAAAACGATACACATGTGTACAATGCAAACGTGTATAAATTTTTAATTAATATTAGTTTTGTTTACTATAATAATGCAATACAAAAATCGAGATTTGGTTACGCGGTTGTTGTGCTAGTAAAACCAGTACAAAAAGCACCCATATATGGTATTGCTTTGCTCGTCAAGTTTACTTTCATTGCTGTACAAAAGTTTTGCGTGTTGATTCGCCTCGACCTCGTTTGCGTTTGGTAATCGTGCCGGCAAGATATCAGAGCAACTGTTAAACATTTTCGTTAATTACCTTATTGTTCACCAATACTCGATAATACAACATAATATAAACTCATTGTACCATCGCCAAACACTCATTTTAACAGTTTTTTCTGCGTAGTCTGTTGTCATTTGTTGGAATTCGTATTTACCGCTTTTAAACGCCATTAAGTAGTGGGGACGTTTTTTAGGTGTGGTGGTGATAACTCCTTTGGTGATTCACACTAACACGAATTCGTCTCTGACTGACGTCGCAGGATATCAGTTGACTAAGAAGCGAAGTTTTATTGTACAGCTTAGTGCACATCAATAACTAAAGAAGTAAGTTGTGTTTTTATCCAATTACAATTACTTTACGCCCAGTTCCAAATTCTAACCTCTCGACTGTATTTTGGGCGTCAAAAATTTTCATTCCCTTTGTTGTTTGCTTTATCTAACACAAATTTCATTTTTTAGAATGTCTTCCCGCAAAACAGGACCTCGTCGTGGCACTGCCAAGAAACGCGCACAACGTGCTACATCGAATGTATTTGCTATGTTTGATCAGGCACAGATTGCTGAATTCAAGGAGGCCTTCAACATGATTGACCAAAACCATGATGGTTTTGTAGACAAGGAAGATCTGCATGACATGCTGGCCTCACTGGGCAAGAACCCTACTGATGATTATTTGGATGGCATGATGAATGAAGCACCAGGTCCTATCAACTTTACTATGTTCCTGACATTGTTTGGTGAACGTTTACAAGGCACTGATCCGGAAGATGTCATCAAGAATGCCTTTGGTTGCTTTGATGAGGAAAACATGGGCGTAATGAATGAAGAACGTTTGCGCGAACTTTTGACGACAATGGGAGATCGTTTCACTGACGACGAAGTCGATGAAATGTATCGTGAGGCTCCGATTAAAAATGGATTATTTGATTATGTTGAATTCACTCGCATTCTTAAGCATGGAGCTACTGATAAGGATGAACAGTAACTCTTTAGGGTGATAACGTTATGTTCATGAAGGAAGCTAATTCTATTAAATTATTCATTTATACTTTATACATTCAATAAACAGGGGTAATATTTTCAATACCTTAGAAAGGAAATGCATTTTGAAAGTTAGTAGAATGTAGTTTTTATATAAATTTACAACAAGAAATTTATTATGTACTTAGAAAACACTAATTGGGGGTTTATATATCATTTTGTAATATGCCATAGAATCTTTTTGAGGAAAATTTATATTATGAGTGAAATAAATAGATAATCAATTACCTCTTTTTGAATCTGTTATAATCAATTTTAATAAACCTTGTGATTTGTGTGCTGCTATTAATTAAAATACACATATGAAAAACTAAAACCAACAGCACATCATTGAAAAACAATGTAAAGTAAAATATAATCACCACATACCACAGATAGAAGTTTAATGTTTGCAATTCCAATATGATAAAACCAAATCCGAACATTTGTCCACTTGTTTACCAAACGTCCATAATTACAAGACAACATAAAGAAGTTACTTTAATTTACGCATAAACTTGACATAAAGTAGTTACTGTCTTGCAATATTCACTTTTGCTCGTGTTGCCAACGTATATAACTTCGTGTAATATCGGATATATTCGTAGAATAAAATTCAAACCAACCAACCTAAGCGCAACGTCGTGTTTACAAACATTCACACTCGTCTATTACACAGAGTTTGAAACTTTTCAAAACTCTTCAACTCCTCGAAGTGCGTCGTTCTGCAATATCCCTTTCTGAACGATTTCATCAAAGTAATAAACGAAAAATCATGTAGTGGTTGTGGCTGCGTGGGCCGGCGCTCGGCGGCTGAGCAGTTTGCCATCCGGCGACGACGCACGGATGCGCCGCTGCGCCGACGGCGTTCAACAAGTGTGGCGAGCGAGCGCCGCGACGAGAGCGCCGCAAGTTGCGACGTTGTCCGCGCCACGACGCGCCGTCCACCTGTTTGCAGGCACACGCCGACTCGACCGACCCAGCGACGAGACGACGGAGACGTTCGTGCAGCAAACACGCGCAGCATTCCTGTACGAGTCTCGGGACGACGTCGCATTTTAAGTTTTTCGCTCGCGTGCAACTTATCATCGGACGTGTCGATTGTTTTTTCAGTTTGTGCCTTATTTCGCGTTCACACGAGGTGAGCACATTTTCTTTGCGTTGTTTTTTTTTTCTCCAGCGTCGCGCTTGTCATAATCGACGCCTGCCGTTTGTGTTTTCGCAACGGCGGGGACTCGACGGCGACATTGTTTTGAGTTAAGGTCATAGGACGCCAGGCGTCGGCCAGGCGTAATCGTCTGGAAAACATGTCGAACGAGTCTCGGCGAGCGGAGTATAATCGCCAGCGATTTGCTACGAAAAATCGCAACTCTGCGATGAAATCACGGCGCTATCGCTATTATTTACATTGTTTTTACATTTGTTTTGTGAGGTTAGGTATACTTTCAGCTCTCGCGGACCAACTGGAAAATGCAAATCTTATAACAATACTAACAAACTATTTTACTTTAATAATAATAATAAAATGTATATTATTTCCAACAATGATTTAACTTGATTTATCAAGTATCTTATTTATAAGTCATTAACAAAGTTCTTATTAGATCCCATTAATATTACTAAAAGTTTGAATTAAAATTTCAGCTTATTTATTTATTTTTTGTATTATTGAATTTGTGTTTTTGTTTTGTTTACTTATATTTTATTTTAAATTAATTCATTTATTTTTATTTTAGTGTTTAAACCATTTCCAGTGATTATTCAAATAATTCAATTCTTACATTTCTGGTGAGTTATTTTAAAACATATTATTTAAAAGTTGTTTTTTTTTATTATGTGTTTTGAAATGTGTTGAAATTTGAATTCCGCGCTCTTGGTCGGTTAAGCAGGTTTGCGCAGTGTCGTTGTAGTGTTCAACCACAGGTGGCAGCTTAGTCTACGCTAGCTTAGTATTCGGGCTATGCACCTAGATGCTGCTACCAATGCTTTCATTTCTTATTTTTCGTATATCAGCGAGTCGTAAGAAAATTAAGTTTGTATAAACTGTCGGAAATTTTATATATTTCAAAAATTTTTAAACCGAACAAATCATTTTGGATTCATTTTATTTGGTTTCTATTTTATTAGATTTGCAAATGTTACGCTATATTTAAAACACTTTATTTTATTGTATAATCAAGATGTGTATTTATTTTTCAACGCGTTTTATGGATACAATTTAAATTTTGTTATGTTGAAAAACAAAAATATTGTCCCCACCGCATATTTCATAAGGTTTGCCATATGAAAAATGTTAATAAAATCCATCATCGCATTGATTCTTAAAATCCTCGGCTAAGCGCCGTCCGACGACCAACGCGTACGAATATAAATTAGGGTGGCTAAAATAAATAAAGGGGAGTCGGTCCTAGATCAATAATTTACAACTGTGTTGTCGAGTTTTACGTCCTTTTATACCGCGATGTCGATGACGCGTGTATGCGTACTTTCCGTACACTTGCGCGATTGCTGCATTCGTCGGTGGTGTGATGGTGGTGGTGGTGCGCGCACAAAATTACTGGTCCGCATTTTTACAATCGCTCAATCTCCAGAGATTTCCACTCGGAAAATAAATGTTCGATGACGTCATATTGCTTTATGCCCACGGCCCCCGATGGCGTCGCGGGGGAAAAAATCATACACGCGCACCGCATGCACACATCCATATTCAGAACGTCCAGACAATACTTATGTGCATGGCGTGCATAGACAAAGACAATACTTACATATTTGTGCATCGGCACCCGCGCGAAATCTATAGAAACGGCTTGAACTCTGCGCGTGTTTGTGAGCACAGAGCACACACTTTTTTAATAAACGGGGTTTCGAACGTCGAACACTGGGAACGGTCCGAATAGTGTTTGTTGCCGTTCGGTCGCGCGTGCATTTTTTCGCGTCCGCCGATGTTTTCAATATTTTTCCGTTCGGGCGCGTGAGACGTACAGGCCGGACGCAATCGGAATATTGGGGTGGGTGAGGGTCGAATGAAAAATGTGCAAAAACGAAAAGTTTAGTTTTTTGTGTGTGTATATTTTGCCCCACGATGCTCAGCTATTCGCGGAGTCCAACCAGACGGATGACTTTTTTTCAATTTTTTTGTTTGGCCTCGAAAACAAAGGAAATGTTTATTGTATTCGTAGTGGTGCGCTCAGGCGCATATAGAGATATGTGGAGCGGGACAAAATTTGATTTTTTAATAAAAATCTCCTCTTTTGGTTTCCGCCTGCGCTTATTGAAGCTTATTGAAAACGTCGAACTTTTATATCATGTCACGATGACTGCCAATTTCTGTCTGCGGTGAATGTACATTAGGAATTGTCGCGTAGTGTTTGTGGGTTTGAAAAAAAGTAGCAAAGGGCCATTTGTCGAAGGATCGTCCCGTCGTTCAACTGGAGCATACAAAAGAAAAGGTTTTTCCTAACGCAGGGAGGTTTTTATCGCACATACCGAGGGAAAGACCACCAGTTGAATGCGGCTTGACCGACCGGCGAACCAACGAAAAGCGGTGTACGAACTGCGCTCATATTCCGGTTGCATTTCGCCGCTACGATAACGAACGACGGTGGTGGTGGCGGTCCGGATCCCGAGTCCGACACGCCAAAAATACCAACCCTTTGCTTGCCGTTTACGTTCGTAGCCTTTACGGCTTTATGTACGGCGTGCCGAGAGTGTGCCGCCGACGGAAATCCAATGACAATTACGAGCCGTCACGGGGACGAGAGCGTTCGCCGCCGCAGTCTCGTCCCTCCGCAAACCTTCGAAAATCGCCTGAAAAGCGCCCGAACTGTGGAAAGTGCGAATACACTCCGGGCGCTTCTCACACTCACGCCGCTTTCACATGCACGATCCTACAAGTTGAAAGGAAGCGCGCATAAAGTGTTCGCGCCGGAATGTTTTCCGGCAGGGAACTGAAATACCCTCTTTAACCTCTGATCTCTCAACCTCGAATCGACCTATTGTTTGGCTTTTTTGCGGGTTGACAATCGGATGAACACGTTTAACCAATGATTCACTTGCGACGTGATTTTCTTTCCTTTATACAAGTACGTCAATAAGTACCTACTTCTTTTTGGTTCTGCTGTTTACAAAAAAAGATCTTAGATCTTTAAATTGAGAATAAAAATGTTTGTGGACAGTTTAAACGTTGTTAAATGCTAGATAATAAATGGGCATTTTGGATGAATTGAATTTTATTTGCGCCAATTCTAGCTACTCACGTATGGAAAATTGAAAGAAAGCGATAAATGGGAAAAGTCCGCAAAAATCCATATTTGATCAACGGAATAGTTAATAGCGTCGAATGCATCTAATCAATTATTGAAATGACTCGCTCGTACTTTTGCACGCGGGATGCCTGACGACGAGTGCGGGGTGCGCGAATGCATCGTGTACACAGGGCGCATGGCGGCAATAGTGGCGGCGGCGGCGGCGGCTCGACAACGCGTCCGTATATGCGCGCCGGAAAGCAATTACAATTTCGTTAACGGCTTCAAATGTAGATCTATTGGGAGTAATATTATTCTATGCCGACGCCGCTGCCGCCGCCATCGCCATCGCGCTCCTCATGCCCCATCCACCCGCCGCGGTGCTCGCCCTGCAGCTGCTCCGGAGCCGCAGCGACGCGCTTGTTTGCTATTTCCAGGCGCTCTCACAACAGGAGCAGCCGACAACCATTTCGTCGGAATACATAAAGTCCGCACCGCCCGCATGCATTACGAATACGCTTCGTTTTTACATTCATACGTTATTGCATCGCCATTTGTGTGCTGCTGCAAGTGTCGAAGAAGAACACAGCACCGGCCAGAAGAACACCTTACACGCACACGTCCAGCCGTAGATTTTAAGGGTCGAGGCGATGGCGGGTTGGCCGGAAGCGGAAATATAATTTACATAAATGTGTATATTTGTGTTTGTGCCCCACCGGTGCACATTTATATCTTCATCTTCGTATCGATGCCGGGCAGTTGTAAAACGGCCTACGAGCGCGTAAGAAATGTACGCGAAATGTGTAAGAAATGTAGAAATATACAATTCGAAGTTTAGTATATGAAGGAGGAGCACATCATAACTTTTACGACTGGAAGCGATGTCTATCGCACTTACTTCGAGTTAATGTCCATGACATTATGCATGCATCTTCTCGCCTAACCGGGCCGAACGAACAAAACAAGACTAAAAAAGTAAAACGCAATCTACTTTGCAATGCTGCGATATCTCGAATTTGTTTGATATGCTGTAGGTATTACTTAAACGCGCGTCTTCACTGTTTGTTTTATTTCTCAAAATTGCCAAGTTTCAACCATAGTTTAGTTTTTCCTCGGGGATGTAAGATACTTAAGGTATTTAATATTCTTTGCAACGAAAAAAGTAGCAATTTTATGTTTTGCCTCAAATTTTCATTAGTTGTAAAAGCTAAATATTAATAAAATACAGGATTTCGTGTAAATTGATTCAACAAATTTTAATTAAATTAGCTTAACATGCATTACTCTCGTACAATATTTATATTAATTAATTGAAAGGTTTCAATTTAATTAATATGTTATTAATTTGGACGTAAATCAGAATAATATCAACGAAATTAAAACGGTATGAGCATTAAACAATTACATTATTATTAAAATTATTAGATGGGTTTCTGCTTTACTAATATTTGTTTTCATAATAATTTTAATATAAACCAATACGCGTTTTAAAAATATTTTTCGCAAAAAAAATTAAATATTATACAAAATCTAAAACTTGGCTCTGGAGATGGTGGAGTCCGGCGTAGCTCAGGAATTAAATTAAACTTGGCCTTGTTCCGTCTGCATCCCCTAAGTTTGGCACGCTCTTCGTGTTCTCATCCCAACGCCTTGCCGCATCTCGCCGGTGTTTCCTCTCGCATATCCATTATTCTAAAGTCTGGAACGAACGCCGGGCTCGCGTTGGCGCTAACTGCATGAAGATTAATATTTATATATTTAATTCTATTAAATTTTACACGAAACTCACATTTTCACCCTTGCGCTCGTGCGGGTGCTGTGCGCGCTCTGCTCTGCTCGGACGAACGTCCTCCTGAAAGGGTGGACTAAGCCGCTCGCCATTCATTACGGTCGTCGGCGAAATTCAGGAGTAGTTGCAGCATTTAGCATTTATTCAAATTAAGAATTTAATAATAGAAAAAACTAACACCTACATGAGCACCACGTTTATGATTATATGCGCATGGAAACTATGTGCTTGGAGCACAATTGAGACGTGTGTTTGCGTCTACTGAGTGGCAAGAGAGTGGCAAGGATATGCAGACAGGAGTTGTACGCGAGGATGCGCGTTATTCATGCACTCTTGTGCATCACTTATGAGATTAAAATATACTCCTACTACGTTTAAATGGGCAGGTTTAATGAATGCATGCGTTCTTCATTCTGGTGATGTTCACATTCGTTCCGAGTAGGTGCGAGCTGGTTGGTGGAGGCTTGAGCATAAACAATGAACTTGGCGCGGAATAATAGACAACTTTGCAGACGAGTGACTTGTTAGTTATACATTTAATGTTATTTATTCGACTGGCTACAGTTGCAGACGATTACATTACAAATACAAATAATTTAATTTATATTTGAGAATAATATGCAATTGAAAAAATTGTAAGTTTTGGTCGAATAAAACCTGGAAAATGCAGAAATTATGAATTTATGAATTCAAGTTTTATAGTTGTGCGATTTGAGCAAATGTAATTACGAGTAGATGCGACAATTAATAATTAC